ACTCCGCGCGCCCATTCCGTGCGCACGTCTGGCCGGGCAGCACGGCCGCGCGAAGCGCGCCTTCATCGCGGAAGGCGCGAAGTGTCGCCGCCGCGTAGCGGCGCAGCACGTGCCGGCACGCGTAGCGTAACGGAACACGGTAGAACAGCCTTATCCTGAGATGCCACGGGCTCGCAATACCATAGCCCAGGGGTCCTTATTATGACCAGTAGGCGGGAACTGTTTGTATTAGGACGCGTTGATCCGCTTGCACAGCGAGAGAGTTCGCTGCTGTCGTACTTAATAACGTTGTCGATCTGAGAGAACAACGTATCGGCAGTAGGCTGGACTAAAACTGATCACAGAAGTAGCTTAGTGGCAGATTCTGGTGGCGCCTGTGCGTCGTTGGTGCGTGGCGTCGGCATGTCGTGTAGTGGTGTGTGGTGCGTGTGTGTGATGGGTGTGCTGTGTGTGTGTGTGTCGTTGTGTGGATGTGATGTCGTGTGTGTGACTGTCTAATGTGAATGTGTGTGTCTCTGTGTGTAGCCCGCGGTGTGTGGTGTGTGTCGCGCGGCGTGTGCGTTGTGTGGTGTGTGTATGTATGTGTGTGTGTGTGTGTTGTGTGTGTGTGGTGCATTGTGTGCGTGACCACGGCCGTGTGTATGTGTGGCGGCGGAAATTGCGTGCTGTGTCTAGCGCGCGCGTCTGCGTGTGTGTGCGCGGCGTTGTGCGTGTGTGCTGTGTGCGCCGGCGCGCGGCGTGCCGTGTGGTGTGTGCCGGATACGCGTGCGGTGGATGTGTGAGTTCGCGCTGTGCTAACGGATGGGCGATCGATTTATAGGCGCATTAGATAATCCTGCAATTCATCAAATCTGCGCTGAGCGCTGATCGGATGTTTTAGATATTTTCCACAAGATCTTTCGACCTGTCAGTCTGCGTTTAGTGAAGCAACATATAGCGAAAGAGCGAGCGTAATCGAATGTATGTCAGTTTGTTGCGGGCGGAACGATGCAATGAGTGCTAGTGCTGTATGTCAGTATCGCGTGAGGTAACCATATAGTACGCGCGCGCCGATATAATATAATATATATATATAATATTTATTAGTATATATATATATATATATATTATGTATATATTATGCGATTCGCGTCGTGTTAATTTTTATAGTACGCCGGCGCCGGCATTCATGTACTATGCCGTCATGCTGACGCCTGTGGTGATACACAGGAATTAATTATTTATATGCTTATTGATTACAGATTCGAGTAAATTAGTTTTAATTTGCTGAGAGTGATCGATCGTAGTGACTGCCTTGAACGCACATCATCAATATGTGGATTCTTGATTACATATAATCAAATAATTGGTGCTGCCACTCCATCTTTAGGAGCGTTACTATGTAATAAATTGCTAGTTATATATTCATAATAAGTTTTTCCGTACGAATTGCACACGTTACACTGAATTTAATTAAAGTCATATTGCATGGCTTTCGTTCTGTACATGATTGTTTTGGGCCCCTTCCAATTCTCTGGCTATGTCTGCTTACTGCATTTGCTTCTCTTTCAGTAATTATTTTCTAAGCGCCGCTCTTAACATGTTTGTTATCGCGCAATCTTACGTGTTAAAGGCCTTGCTATATTGTGAGTCATCAACTATATTATTATATATTAGGTTACTCAACATGGGGCCATTCAATTTAGGAAGGCTTAGGCGTCCCAGGACCCAAACCAACAAGCCCTCATTCGGACACTTTTGGCAAGTAGTAACCACGGATATTATTTACTTAGGCCTATTATAAATTTTAGAGTAGGCTTATACATCTCCTCTGCTATATTTTCTTTGATATTAAGTTCTTCGTTATCTCATTATTTGATATGAGGAAGGAGATTATTTCTTCGATTGAGTTTGAACTGTGACGCATATCCTGTACGCACACAATTTGTGTCATGTAGCAGCTAGAGACAGATAATATATCAGGATGTGAACAAATAATCTATTATTATCCACTATCCTGTTATATCTATATTTGCCCATTTTCAAGGCCCGCGTTACTAATCTGAGCTTTATCATACTCTAATTCTGAGGCGGGCTACCAAATTATACTGAAAAAGGGACCAAAGTCCACACATCGTTGCCTGGCATTTTGAGTGTATATTTTGTGGACAGGGGTGTACATTCTGTTAAAAAAACACGCCACTATCCAATGAATTTCGTCCATAAAACTCATTTAAAATCCTATTGTATACAAGTTGACTAAATCCATGGATGATATTGGACAAAAAACTGAAAAAAATCGTGGTTGAGGTACGGCCATGACTCATATAGGCGTTTCTCAGCAAACTGTTTTCCTGTATGGCCAAACACGCCTTTGCCCCGTCGCGTGGATTGACAAATACTTCAACTTGCACTCGGGAAAAGCGAACAACACTAAAATATAATTAATTACTCTTCGTGACAATATCGTCAGGTCAATGCGAACGATGTCACATTACCCGGTCATGCAATCCTTATCATCGACTATCAATCAACTCAACCGAACAGTACACGCACTTCGTATGCAATGCTTGCCCACTATTCATTTCCGCTAGCAGCCCCTAAATTAATTAGCTTGCTAATGATTATATCATATTTGTATGCGCCTACGTGATGGTTGTGACTAGACGTTAGTAAAGTAAACATTTGATCGACATGCAGTGGGAGAAAAATATACACACGATATATATATATATATTATCAGAACATGCAGTGGGAGTAATATCGTACTACTCACATTACTACTACTACACAACAAACACACTACACACACACACACCAGACACACACACACACACACCACACACACACACGAACACACACAAACACTGCACACACGCACCACACACACACACACATCACCCACAGCACAAACACACTTACAACACACAACCACACACACGTAACAGAACGACCACACACACAACACCATCACAACACAGCACACACACACACACCACACACAACACACAACACATAATATATATAATGATATAATATCAAAGAGTACATAAGCTCTTACTAATGCTACTTTTGATAATCTATATTATATAATGAGCTGTCTAGTCATTGGGCCACTAGTAAAGTATACGGTAATATATAGCTAGAGAGCTAGGTTAGAGTACGAGCCCTGACCAGTAGCCACAGATAACACCGCCATATCGTATATATGTACTTACTCTAACATGCCACCGAATACATGTATGATGCGGTTCATATAATCATAGATTATAAACCGTAATCAGGCAATGTTCCATAATTACGACACGCGCGACGTTGGAATACGCACATCATATACTTATGGGCAGGGATGTGATCAAAATGCAAACGTTCAATGATACGATGCATTGTTCAAATTGAACAAGTCGCTTTAATCATTCAAACGCTTCAAATTGATCGATTGTATTGTTCAATTGAACACGTCGTTTAATCATTCAAACGTTCAATTGATCGATTGAATTAGTTCAATGATCCATTGATTGTCAATTTGAATCGCATGATTTTTTCAATTAGACTCGAACTGATGATTCAATTGCCTATTGCCAAAGTTGCAATTTGCAATTGCCAACATTGAATCGCAGTTGACAAATCAAAGGCCACGAAAGACGAATTAGGCGTATGAAATCATGGCAATGGAGCAATCGCGAGGCTCGTCAATCCGCCAAATCAAACGTATAACCTACTGCACCATAGGCACAAGCAGGCCATGACGAAGGACGCGGGTACGCGCGTACACGATTGACGAATGGAACGCAATCGGCAGGCGTTCCCAGATAGGCGATTAACCGCTGATGACGGCGTGCTACCCGCGTGTAACTCGTGCGTGATCCCGCTGTGCACGTGAGGTCCCCGCGCTGTTACGTGGTTACCGCGTGTACCGTGCCGCGGCTGTACTCTGCGTGTACAGTCGCGTGTCACCCGCGTGATACACGCGGCGTACACGCACGTACACCGGCAGTACACGCACGTAACACGCACAGTACCACGCGGGGTTACACGCACCAGTACACGCGGAGTACACGCATATAGCTGACGGAAACGCCGAGACGATTGCGTTTCCTAGCAATATAACCTTACAATAATAAATTACAACAACAACATAATACATAATAATAATAATAATAATTAATAACAATAATCATACATTATTGATGTTAATAAATGACAATAATTAACTTAGAAAACACATGTTCCACTCGCTTTCTAATCTTATACTAGCTGCGCACTCTCGCATTTCTTAGCTATACCAGTCATTATATATAATGTGGTCAATTACGCACCCCCATGCGCCGATCACTGATTCTCTATAACACTAACTAATTAGATAATCCAGTATAAATTAATATCAATATAGAAGTAAGTCGCGTCCGCTGCCATGCGATAATATCCGAGAACGGTTACTGTAGCGGACACCGGGCTAGGAAACGCCGCGTACGGCATATTATCAGGGTAATAATGACAAAGAATCTCTCAATTCATTAACCCCTGATAAGAATATCTGCGTTCTAATCTATTAACTTGACCGCTGAGCCTGTTTTGAGTTTTGACGCATATGTATAGTGGCTCACCATTGCTCACTGACCTGCATGTCATATATGGAAATCCCATAAACAGCGGCAATGGCGAATTTAGCTGCTTAAGTCGTTTGTATACTCGATCTACAATCCTTAATTCTGTTTCTAGGGTATTCCACATCACAGACTACGATGGATATAAGAATATGGGTGGAAGATTACGGAGTAGTCGCTAATTTTAGACAACAAGCTGTATTCCACCTCCCATCCGATGCCATCAGATGCCTCCGATCGTTGATGTAACAGTCTTATATAGTATTGACTATATTGCATTTTGTGTGTTATTTAGTCTAATATTATTTATCAAATTTTAATCATGGAGTAGCATAAATATATCATGCCCGCACAACGTTAGCACTCCTGGTTAACCTGCTACCGTCTATCAGCGCACGCTTCTTTCCGTTATACATAATATGTTCTCTGCGATTATAACCAGGCTTTACCTCTACATAGCGGATCCCTCTTTCATTTTACAGTTCCTAATATGCCTTACAATGTCATCCTCAAAAAAACTGTGTCCTGCACCAATATGTTATATAAAAAGCAATCGTAGTTCAGTGGCAGATCTAGATGGGGGTTGTGGGGGGGGCTCCTGAAAGCTAGATCCGGCCCTGTAGTTATATGATTATGAACTGGCAGCAGTATTGCAAGAACAGAGCTATACTGCTGTGAGTTTCGTGTTTATATCTCCCCGATGCAAAGTTATAAGAACGTTGTTATAACAAACGTCACCTGCCGTAGCCCAGCCGAGTAGCTTTTCTGGTCATCTTTCATCACACCAAAGAGGCACTATGCTCCACGATCGGAGCCAAAAATACAATATATATGTATATATATATGTATGAAGTTCCGTTTCCCAAATGAAAGTTAGATTACACAGAAAAAATTGTAATTAAAACAACTGGAGACATTATGTAATTATGATTATAATTTTAATATCAATTATAATAATATATATATATAATACTATATATAACTAATGATCGGATGAATTTTGTTTGATAGGGGCGTTTATGATGCGAAGCAGTCCACGCTCCTTCTTGATATCCCGGACTTAATCAAGCAGGCTGTTGGAAGACGCTCTCGCTAGCATTTTAGAACAGAAGGTCGTGAGGGTTTCACTATACATAATATAGGCTTATATAAAGCCTTCGCGTACGCTGTAATCGATCGAACGAGCGCTAACATTGAAACATTCACAGTAGTTAACTTCACCACATAGTAACACACAACACACCAACACACACACACACACACACAACCACACACTCACACACACACACACACACACACACACACATCCTTCAACTGCTGCACGAGCAGAAATCGAGGAAATTCGCTCCTAACTCTAGACGCGACCGCCGGTGTATCAGTAACTGTAAAGAACCGAATTAAACGATCATCAGTCATGGTATATATTCTTTGACTTGTCTTTCTCTATGTCTTTTGGCAATGAATACGACATCACAATCCACAACTGTATCGTAGTGACAAACAAGTTGCTACAGACACGCCATGTCGCCGCGAAGACTGTCGCGCCTTGTTGCCGCAAAGACGGACGCGCCTTGTCGCCGCGACAACGGACGTGCCTCTTCGCCTCGACAACGGATGCACCATGTTGCCGTGACGACGGACGCGCTGCATCGCCACGACGACAGACGCGCCACGACGTCTTCGTCGCTTCACAGCTTCGCGGTGGGCCCTGACCCTGGGTCGTCCGCTACGAGGTCGACATACGCTCCCGTCAGCGCGGCCTCGCCCGTCTCGTCGACGACGCAGCGCAGGTGCACGCGTTCTCCGCGCCGCCACATCTCCGTGCGCAGCGTCTGGCCGGGCAGCACGGGCCGCGCGAAGCGCGCCTTCATCGTACGGAAGCGCGCGACGTCGCCGCCCGCGTAGCGGCGCAGCACGTGCCGGCACGCGTAGCCGTACGCGCACAGCCCGTGCAGGATGGGCCGCGCAAACCCGCCGGCCGCCGCAAACGCCGCGTCCACGTGCAGCGGGTTGCGGTCGCCGCTGAGCCGGTACAGCGCCGCCTGGTCGACGCTCGTCCGCTCGACGACGACGTCGTGCGGCGGCCCCGTGGGGGGCGCCACCGTCGGCACCTGCTCGCGAGAGGTGCGCGGGCCGCCGAAGCCGCCGGCGCCTATAAGGAAGCCGACCGCCTGGTTGAGCGCCACCTTGCGGCCGCGCTCGTCGCGCGTCTCCATGACGATGACGATCGCGGCACCGGACGTCTTGTCGAGGACGTCGGCGATGCGGTAGGTGGTGATGAGCGTGGCGTCGGTCGGCAGTGCGCCGTACACTTCCGTGTACTGCTCGCCGTGCAGGAACCGGCTGAGGTCAAACTCGATCGCCGAGCCGACGGCGCCAAACGCCGCCACCAGGTCGCAGCACGTCGTCGAGAAGGTCGGCACGACGGAGAAGTCATCGCTTCCCTCGTAGAGGAACTTGAGCGAGCCGGCGTCGGCGACGGAGCAGCCGATGCCGAGGTGGTAAAGAATGACGTCGCGGTCGGTGTAGCGTATCACGCTCGGCTCGATCGCCGCGTCGCGTAGCTTCGCTACCGCCGCCGCCGCGTCGTCGGTCGCCGTGGCAACAGCGGCGTCGCTCGCGGCCGCGTCGTCAGTCGCCGTGGCAACGGTGACGTCACTCACGGCCGCTTCTACGGTCGTCGTGGCAACGGCAATGCCGCTCGCGGATGGGTCGCCTGCATTGCCGGGGGAAGTCGTGTGGCCTTCGTTTATTTTCTGAAATGGAGATGATACGTAGAGTTAATTATTAATTAATTAATTAATTAATAACTCGACCATGCACTTTTACAGTAAGTATCCAAAGTGGTTTACCAGCTGGCAATTGCGACTGCAATAATCGTTAGCTCAGCCTCTAGAAAACACTACCACCCTCTGATATTGTGTGTGGTCGGACTACTGCAACCATATCTGCCAGAGACCACATATTATCCTGGTTGCATATATATACGCGCAAACGAACGAGGCAAACGAACGAGGCTCATACAACTATAGGGCACCAACGTGGCCGCATCTGTGTACGGTGGACAAACAGCCGCTCGAGTGTTTGCCTGGCTGCTGTAGAGCCTTCACTCACCTCCAACACATCGACAAGAGTAGCCGTCGATTCCTGAATGCTGCTCGGATGGCTGGCGCTTGTCATGTCGGTGATGCCCTCCCAGCTGTCTCGCACTGCCTCGGGCGTCATTCGCTTCCCCTTCTCCCGCACGATCCTTCCCTGCGATCTCTCCCACCTACGCAAAGAGAATGCCACGTGAAACAGGTGTGTTAGCTTGACTGAACCCCGTCTTACAGAGGAACCCAAAAACTATAACTGCTGTGGTTGGTTTCGTAGAAGAATAACAACGCGAGGCATTGATTGCAATGAACGGCAAAATGCCTTCAGGAGTGACTTTGTACACAATTAAGTTACTAGCCACGTGTATGAGAGTGTGAGCCAAATACTAATCTTTACAGAGAAACCTGCCACATTATACAACACATCTCTCCTTATCTTATAGAATATTGATATACAGCCCTGATTCAGCCTTTTCTTTCATAACTTTAACATGTCAAACAGAAAAAAACGTAAAACGTAATTCGTTACAGCACAAACGTTCATCACCTCTAACATATGACTACGTGGACTAGCACATATACACGTACGCACGCATGCACACACACACACACACACACTCACACATGCGCACACACACGCACACATACCTCAGCTTGCCGATCCACCCCGCTCCGGCCTCGAACACTCCTCCCGTCTCCTCGCACGACTCGTGGCAGAGATAGGCGACGAGCGGCGCCACGTACTCGGGCTTGAGCGCGTCGACCAGCTCGCCTGGGAACACGCCGCGCGTCAGCCGCGATCCCGCCGTCGGCACCACTGCGTTGCAGCAGATGCCGTACGCGGCGCCCTCTATCGCGAGCGTGTTGCTCAGGCCGACGAGCGCCATCTTCGCCGCCGCGTAGTTCGCCTGCCCGAAGTTTCCGAACAGTCCCGCGGCGGACGAGGTGACGACGACGCGTCCGTAGCCGCGCGCGCGCATGCCGGGCCACGCGGCGCGCGTCACGGCGAACGCGCCGCGCGCGTGCACGCGCTGCACGCCGTCCCAGTCCGCGTCGCTCGTGCGCGCGAACGAGCGGTCGCGCAGGATCCCCGCGTTGTTGACGACGACGTCGACGCGGCCGAACGCGGCCTCGGCGGCGCGCACGATTCGCTCGCCGTCCTCCACCGAGTCGTGGTTGGCGACGGCGCTGCCGCCGCGCGCGCGGATCTCCTCGACGACGAGATCGGCCGGCCGCACGTCACCGCCGCCGTCGCCGGACGCGCTGCCGCCGAGGTCGTTGACGACAACGTCGGCGCCTCGCTCGGCAAACAGCAACGCGTACTCACGGCCGAGGCCTCCGCCGGCGCCCGTCACCACGACGACACGTCCGTCAAACCTCAGATCCGACATGACGATTGAAGGTCAAGCGGGTCGTTGCTTAATGGCGACAGACTCCCATTGGTGGTTCCGTGTGTGAGCTGTAATTAAACAGAGATGCTAAAATCTGGTGTTTTAATTTGTTCTCCTCTAATAAAGAAAACCATTCACACTATCATTGCTATGTCAAAAAGTGTAAAACTAAACTCATATGCGATGCAAGTAATAACCGATCGACTGATTTCTATACGACTGTTTGTGCAAATGTATAATTTCACAAACGGCTTTAAATGCGTGAGGCAGCAAAAATACAATTAGTGGTTACTCGTGAGTTAAAGTTTGACCTTTGATGTTTCTACAGCTAATAACCAGGGTTTATTTATATGATACGTATGGCCAGGTATTTCTTCAGCTGGGCTACACATGGCATGTTAGAACATGCAAATAATACATGTGTGATATATACGTACTAATCTGGTCCTCACAAACCTTGTAAATATTAGTCTTCAAAGTCCAAGGGTCTATATCGAAGATGGAGAGACAAAGAATAAATGACTTTTACATACTGTAGGAGCACGACATACAAACAACACATAACTGCGCCTGTGCAACCATATATCCTGTTTACACAGGCATATGTTATCAAATCTACGCCATGATCTGGTATACCATGAACCCAATCATACCAGCCTACATTATACAGCACCCCAGTGTCGAGTGTTTACCGTAACTGTGACAAGCATAGATACTAACCCAAGGGTTAGTATCTATGTGACAAGTTAATAGTTGTGTTTAGAGTAAAATTAGTTGTGTTGCTGCTTTGTCGTTATAATGTGTTAATAGGGGGCGCCACTTGCCAGGTGGTGAATATTAGAATACCTTCTCAATACCAAACTCCACGACAGATGGTGCTCTCGCTCTGGCTCAATACTACCTGGCATGTATCCTGAGTATTATCCTGAGTGTGGGAAGGGGCACTGCATGCAGTTTGTCTCAATACATTACCTCTACAACAAGTGTATCACCTTTAGCCCTGTAACGGGAGCGAAGGGGCTGCACTGGTAGATTTAATCCATACACGACATGTTGTCTGTTGTTGTTGTTGTTGTTGCTGTTTTTGTTTTGTCATTATTTATTGACAGTGGTGATCGTGTTGGTACCCATGCGCTTAATTTAATTGCACTTTTCCATTGGGGCATTGCCCTAATATGCAGTAACAACTACCAAAGCTGAATCACCAGGGAATTAAATAAAAATCAAGAGCTACACATCCTGGCGTAATATGGCAGTCTCTTTGTTCTATCTCTGTCATAGCTCTAGAACTATATATAGCCCCTCGTTCCGCCACAGGAACTCGATCAGGAACACAGACACAGTGCCGGTGGTGGAGCGAAAGGCTATAGTTCTAGAGCTATATCTGTCATTACTGGGTCACGTCATATCATGTCATGTATTGTAATGTCATACATTGTCATGTCTTGTAATGTCACATGCACATAGTCAGAATATTATGTATTATAAGTATAATAATGTCACATCACATCATGCATTGTAATGTCTTATATTATAACCTCACGTATGGCATAAGATTGTATAATAGATAAGAAATCATATATCATGTCATGTATTGCAATGTAATAGAACATCATGTATTGTAATGTATTGTGTATGTTGTAATCAACAGATCACGTCATGTATTGTAAATGTCATGTAATTTCATGTCTTGTAATGTCATATGCATATAGTAGCCATAATATATATAGTAGACAGTAATGGGATTTTTTCATGCCGTGATTGTATTGTCATGTATTGTAATGTCATATTACGTTATGTATTGCAATGTCATATCACGTCATGTCGTGTTATCATCCAATGTTAAACAAATGTAATATCATGGTACAGTGTATGGCTGACTCCGATGACCGCATGGTCCCTTCGCCATACCCGTGCATTTTATAAGCATAGTTCAGTAATAACTGTTTGATTTTTCCCCTGACATTAAGTACTGTATAGATGTAAGAACTGTATCAAAACGTTTAGCACAAATAAACATCTTGAATTGAATTGGGTGACTTTCGTGCATGCTTGCTGAATTTACAGGTATGACCGCATGTACCAGTAGGCCCTAAATGTTCCAGTGAGAAAATCGTACATGCAGCCCTAGCTCTAGAACTATGGCCCTTCGCTCTGCCACAGGCACTGTTCCTGTGAATTCCTGTGTAGTGTGTTCCCGAGTTCCTGTGGTGGAACGAGGGGCTATAGTTCTAGAGCTATTGCAGCCTCAGCTATAGGCACAGTGTACACTCATTGTAACTGTTTCTACGCGCTACACTGCATTATTGTTTTAATCATTTTCAATTTCTACCTAGGCTAAAGCGAGGGTCACACCATCAAATTTATTCGCAAAATTTATTAGCGAAATTCGCATGGTGTGTCCGCTCAAGCGCGGGCGAATTTCACGCGATCAAACATGTTTGATATTTTGTTGCAGATTTTTACCGCTGCGTACAAATTCGCATCGTGTGTCCGTGGAAGAGAAAATCAAGCCGGCTGATGTTATAATGCAGCGAATCATTTATCAGTATGCTAATCACATGACCACATGACGGTTGGAGCCATGGTTGGAGCCGTGTGGCGACAGTAGATCGCGTGTAGTGTATCCGCTGCGGTCGTGCGAATATATATTCGCATGGTGTGTCTGCTGCGGTCGTGCGAATATATATTCGCATGGTGTGTCTGCTGCGGTCGTGCGAATATATATTCGCATGGTGTGTCCGCTCAATTATCGCATGTGGGAGCGAATATTTTCGCCCCGAATTTTCGCCCCCAATTGCTATTAACAGTGTAATTAACGCTGACAGGGTCTATGTCTCCCTGGGTACTGCTAGAACTTACCCTGGCACAGGCACTTGGGACAGAGTCAGTAAAAACTGAAAATAATATGAACGCACATTCACAAATAGGCCCTACTACCGTACCTCTCAATTACAGTTCCATTGTTGTGTCACTGTATATCAACTTTCTTTCATAAAAACTAACGCCGAATGCTCCTGCACTCGCCACTGCGAGTGTGCTGTGTCGCCATGATAATGATAATATATATATAAATATATAATATATATATATATGTCAAATATATATAATATATATATATATATATACTTTATATATATATATTATCATGGCGACACAGTACACTCGCAGCGGCAAGTGCGGGAGCGTTCGGCGTTAGTTTTTATGAAGGAAAGCTGATATACAGTGACACAACAGTGGAACTGTAATTGCAGAGGTACGGTAGTAGGGGCCTATTTGTGAATGTGCGTTCATATTATTTTCAGTTTTTACTGACTCTGTCCCAAGTGCCTGTGTACCCTGGGTACGGTCCGGTATACCGGAACGTACCCTGGTACTATCTAATATGCCGACCGTACCTCGCTAGCTCAAGAAACGTATTGCTAGGGTTAGAATACCCGGCCTAGACTAATAATGTAATAATGTAATAATGTAATAATGTAATAATGTAATAATGTAATAATGTATAGACAATCCGTCGCACAGCCTGGTCGGGCTAGTACCTCGACTACTCCACTAACGAGTCTAGGAAGTCGCCTACGCCTACTCTCTAACCCTATAACCATATCAGATAGTTACCAGGGACCGTACCAGGGTACGTTTCAGGCAATACCCAGGGAGACATATAGACCCTATCAGTGTTATTAACAGGGTTATTGGTAGCCCGACCAGGCTCTCCGACTGTTACACGTCGTAGGACAACGTGGTGTTAAGCGAGAAGGGAACTTGTGGCTAGGTTATTGGTAACAAGTGTCCGAAAAATATTCCCCAGCCCTTGCCCAGTAATGGAAATGGCTGTCAGAATCAGGAAACACCTACCGGCGCTCTTCGTGACCTCAATCTTGCGCCGCAACACTGCAACGTTTTTGCAACGTTCCAATGGCGAGGCTCGTACGGGAGTTGGAAAGCAGTGCGCCGCCTGCGCGCCGCCTATAGCCCATAGACTGGCACTCGCTTCCACCTCTCGGCTTAGCTTAGTCATCGATGGGTAATCGAGGTGGGAGCGAGTCCCGTCTATATAGCCTTTGTCCTTGCAGCCATTTCCATTACTGGGCAAGGTTCGCGAACGCGAAAATTTCGTCAGTCTTTCTGTGATTTCGCGTGACACAGCTCGGTTACGAACAGAGACATGTTTTTTATAACAAGTGAACACTGTTCACGTCCCAAATGTCTGCCCTCTGTGTCCCCACTAAAATTGTGGACTGTTCGCTGGCAGCTATGGTGCGTGCGCCGGCCATAAGCATTCGGCGCACGGATCCATAGCTGCCAGCGCTGCATACTGTCGTAGGACGTTCGCGTGCGTCGCGTGCGCCTTGACGCGGAATGCGCGCAAGATCTGCGCTCAGCACTTCGGGTCAACACCTCCTTTCGGCAACGCTTCTCTAGTATCCCGGCTCATCTGGTTGGGTTACATTATTGTATCTAATATAGTCCTAGTAGTAGTACTAGTACTAGTACTAGTAGCTGACGTATGCATCCAAACCACAGATATCATATAGCACGATCAATACAATTAGCTCATAACTGCTCTGAATATACGTAATTAAACAAGTTCGTGTTATCATAGTCTACATACATGATACATAGCCCGACCTAGCCCGACCAGGCTGTGCGACGGAGTGTCTATACACGGGTATCCTAACCCTAGCGATACCGTTTCTCGGAGCTAAGCCCGACCAGGCTGTGCGACCGATTGTCTTCTAACCCTAGCAAGACCGTTTCTTGGAGCTAAGAATAAGATATACGATAGGCATACAAACACATTGTCTTCTATGGTTCTATCAGAGCATATAAATCAACTAATATAGTTCTAAAACTAACAGTCGCTCTGGTCCTATGGAAATCGACAAAACGTGACGGGGACTGACAGCGGTAACAGAGGCGCCACCTTTTGGTAGAAAACGCGTAAAACGCGGTGATAACATTATTATTACCATAATTATATCAGGAGTAGATAATAGACCCTATTATCTACTCCTGATGTAATTAACCTAAGTTACCTAACCCAAGAGTAAGAAGAAGAAGAAGAAGAAGAAGAAGAAGAAGAAGAAGAAGAAGAAGAAGAAGAAGAAGAAGAAGAAGAAGAAGAAGAAGAAGAAGAAGAAGAAGAAGAAGAAGAAGAAGAAAAAGACTGTTCTCGAATGTTCTTGGGGTCACTGTCACTTCGTATTGATTGCCGCAAACTAATGTGGGTGTTGATGACTATATATGAAGTGGAATGATAAGGAGACTGATTGCATGTGTTGGAAAAGTACAAATTACGTGATTAGATTATATTATTAGGGGATTTTCCACTCCATTCGCAGCTGTTAGCGTACGTATCGTTGCGTAAACGGAGCTATAAGCAAAATAAATAAACGTTGTCTCAAAAACATTTGTTTCAATTCCTTACCCCTGTCTAACATTTGGTAGAAAAAGCGTAAACGCAGTGACTTTAAAAGACATGTTGCATTATCACTATATAATATCATTACTATCCTCTGCCATCATATATTACCTATACTCACACGATGGCATGTTCGATAATGGTGCCAGCATGTTATCATCTAGATACCATGATGTTAATTGTAGCGACGTAAAATAATGCCAATTAACTTTCACTGGCATTATTTTACGTCGCTACAATGTAATTAACCTAATGCAGGAG